GACCTAACCACCTGAGATCTAGACTTATGTCTGAAATCTCCCTGGACCAAGTCCAGAAAGATAAGTCACTTCAGCCTGCTGACTTATAATTAAGGTGAGATAAGACAATATCAATAGTAGTTAGGGCCCACCATTCCTTCAGAGGCTTACAACTGCCTCCTGTATAGTACTGACCCTGTAGATTGTACATTCCTGACAGTGTGGACCAGACAGGAAAGCTAAGTTGGCAAATGTTCTCCTCACTTTCAATTTTCATGACCACATAGAAGGTTAAAACTGAGAGGGTCACAGAGATCATCAAGTCTAATCTTTCCTACTTTACTGGATAAGGAAACTAAGACCAGAAATGGGTCATACTTGCCCAAGGTTACACAGTGGGGAAGTTACCAGGGTCTCCATGCCTACCTTGGACTCTCAGCCTAAAGCAACTTCCCCTGGATCATGCTGACACTTGCACAGGTTTCTAAAACCTAGAAAAAAACCTTTGCATTGCTCACTGTTGTCATGTTATTTGTGGTGTGTGTGTGTGTGTGTGTGTGTGTGCGCTAAGACTCAAACCCAGACCTCATGCATGCTAACCACATGTCTACTACAGAGATATACCCCAGTCCTACTATTCTTTTTAAGTGATTATTTTCCATTATTTATCAATATAACTACCACCACTTTCTGACTCTCTCTGCCAGGCATTACCAGAAAAGCTCTCTATAAATTAATTCATTGAAAATCTGATAAAGCAGGTTACTATTACTATCCCCATATTACAAAGATAGAGAGCAGTTACACAGCCTGGGCAAAGTCAGGACTGTCTAATCCAGATCATCTGGCTCCAAAGTCCACACTCAAAGCCACTTTTTTAGAGTTCATGAAATATAATTTATTTAAAGTATAAAATGATGGAAGAAAAGGAATCAGTCTTAAGCAACAAGGGTATGGTCACCAGTGTTTGATAGTGAATTCAAGAACTAAACCATGACTTTTATTAAAGTACGCGATATATCTCTTGATCATCTTTTTCTTTCTTTCTTGTTTTTTTTGGTACCGGGGAATGAATTCGGGTCCTTGCACTTATGAAGCAGGTGGCAGAATCACTGAGCTAAATCCCCGGCCCTTGATCATCATTTTTAAGGGAAGGTCTCTGGGTATACTTGATGGAAATATATAAAACATATTAACATTTTAAGTGTATATTTTTTAAAAGGCAAAATTACCATGTGACAGCACTCAGACAAAGCCAGTCCCTTGTAATGAGCAGTCTTATCTGCGTGTTGGATTTAGAAAGACACAGCACAGCAGAAAGGTACCACTGCTGATTTCCACCTGTTCTGCCCTCACTCATAGGTACATTTTCTTCTGCTCTTAAAGGAATAACACTTTTATGTTAACTTCCTACAGAAATCAAACTTAAAATTATTACTAATTGAGGAAAAAAATACTAGAACAAGATCAATAAATTTCTAAAAATTAATCAAAATACTTTTTTGATAAAAGTATTCAAAATCAGCATCACTGGAACAAATGTCCAATATTAAATTATACTACCTTTCCACTATCCTTCATATTAAAAATGATGTCAAACTTCATTATCTTGTTTACCCAGGAGAAGAAGTCCAGGAGCCATAACAGTACAAATGAGCAAATTACAATTGTACTTAAGATCAAATCTCAAGAGAAAAATAGGAGTCAATTAGGATGCACTTTCCCATAAAAAAGTTATGTGACTTAGTTTACCAGCCAGATGTCTTAATGTGGAATATGTGAAAGACTACTCTGAAAATGTGACAGATGCTAAAAATTCTAATGCCTATAAGGTGTTGCCTTAGACATGAAATCAACAGCACAGATAATTAAAGCAAAGAGAAAAAAAAAAAAAAAAGCAAAGAGCAGTGCCAGGTACACAGTAGGCCTTCAACAAATATTTGTTTGTGTTTGGTTTTATGTTTTGTATGTTGCTGCTGTTGCTATTATTTTTGCAGTAACCAAGGCAGTCATACTGAGCTACATCTGCAACCCTTTATCTCTATTTTGAAACAGGGTCTCTCTAAGTCAAGAAGTTGCCCAGGCTAGACTAGAACTTTCCATCCTCCTACCTCTGCCTCCCACAGTGCTGGGCTTACAAGGTGTTCACCACCACAAATAGCTCCAATAAATATTTATTGAATGAATGTAAGTCATGAAATTTTCACAAAAATAGAGGCACATGATAGACTGTCACAGTGACATAACAGGAGGGTAACATTTCTCTGAGCTTCTAAGAACTGCTTTTTGATCCCATAAAAACAAAAGAACCAAGGGTGGTGGAGAACAGACAAAATGACAGAGTGCCATCCAGTCAGGACAAAATGCTCTATAAGACAAGACCTGATCTACACTTCATAAGCAAGAAAAATATCTCTCAGCCCAGCTTTGCCTGAGCAAGAGATCTGGCCTCAAGCCCCACAGAGTGGCATAATATTTACGGTACTACTCTAACATGGAAGATTTCCCTAAATTTGCTTCATTTCAAATGTGCTACTGCTTTTAATTTTGCACCCTCAGTAGCAAAATTAATTTTGCACCCTCATCTAGCATAGCTCACCTCTTGATAACAAATCTTATTTAAGGTCATGGGGTAGCTACTGTGTTCCCCTAAAAGCAACACAAACACAAATGCAATTAGATCAAACCTACATAAACCAGACCTGTCATAGCTGATCAGTAAATTAAAGCATAATAAAATTATAGGCAGCCTGGGAGTTGGAGAGTAATTTATGCTCTATTCAGAATTATCTTAGCTGTGTCCCAGTAGGGAAAGCGTTTTCCAACATTTATATCACCAGTTTTTGTTGTTATTGTTGTTGTTCCTGTTGTTGGAGTCAACACCTGGTCATTAAACCATGGCAGGACTTGAAGTTAGAGCTTAAGTTGCAGTAGGGTGGTGATCAATTTTGTACAGAATGCTTAGGATAAAAGTAATAGTATAGTCTGCTATTTACTTTAATACCTTCTTAGAATACATTTCTTTTCTCACATGGTATATTAAAGAAGGTCATATGTCAGAGCTCATCTGAAATTCCTGACCAATTTAAGTCTTAACCACAAGAATAATTTCTTCTAATACAATTAGAAAATATTTCAAACTCTTCTTCAGTATCCACAATTTAGAAAGAAAAAAAAAGTGTGAAACCAAAGAAGAACCAAGAAGGGCAAGTTCATAGAACCTTACCAATTACCATTACCCGCTACTATTTTCTTCTTTACCTTTAAGTATTTCTAATGCCTAGAGGACAGCGGCACTTCACAAGAAAGTTTAATGACACCTCAGTTACACAACCTGCTCTTGATTGGTCAGATTATGTGCTTTCGATAAGGAAGAAAACAGTCAAAAGCAAGACAAACACTGATTCTCTGTTCTCCATTCTCCCATTAGCCAGGATACTCCATTTGAGTCACACACCCAATAGCTAGCTCTGTGCCTCAGTTTCCCTGACCACTAAATACCAGGTGTGACGCTATCCATAGTCAATTTGATCAAAATTAATGGACATACATAATCACATACAAAGCCCATCTCAGAATACTACACTGAAACACTATGTTGCATTAAAAATTTCAATGACTTTGACAGCATTGCTTCCTTTTCCTCCAAAGCCCAAAGGGGTTAAGTTTGGCCATTTATCAAGATTAAGCAAATACCTATTTGCATTAACCTTCAGATTAAAAACCCAGAGCGGAGAGATGGAAACCTTTCCAGGTGAAATAATCACTCTGCTTGAATTGTCATGTGCAAAGTGGACGTGACAGGGACAGAATCTGACAGCGGCGAGTCTGATTTGTTTCTGCTATGAAAACAGGATTTTGCTAACCTAGACAGCTGCAGGGCCTAGGAACACCAGAGGACAGAACTTCAGAAAACCAAGGGACAGATGGGACCTCAAATGATCAGCTCTACATAAGCCGCTCACTTAATTTCTTATTTCTTCGCCCAAGAAGCGTGATCTAGTGGTAAAACTCCAAAATTTCTGGTCTGTGGGGACTGAAAGTCAGGCAAGGGTCAGGGAGGGAGAAGCTGGGCGGATACAGATGTCACCTCTTTCCTCCAGCCATCCAGCTGTAACCAACAGGGGGACTCTGTGTGCCCCTAAAGTGGACACCCTTGGAAATCCATCTGATGTCTAGGAGACCAGAGCATCAGTACTACACAGTCTTCCTTCCCACCCCGTCTAGACCCGTCATTGCGACCTTTAGGACGCCCTAGACACAGGATAGTTAGGGTACCGCCGTCCACACCCCACGTATTCCACGGGAAAACAAATCCATAAAAAAAGGGAAAGGAGTTCCCCTGAATTCTGATGCCCCTCCCAACCGAGAGGTCCACGGATGCTTTTTAAAACAAAGCAAAGGTTTCCACAAGAAATAAATGTCAGCGCTCCTGTCCTGAGCCTGAGCTTGGTCTGCATCTGGGATTGCTCCGACACCCGGCAACCCAGAACACAGGCACAGATGGGAAGGCGGGACCCCGGCCTTCACTGTTCTCCGTTCGCCACTGGAGTGCAATGTATTTCCCGTTCTCCCTTAGGACTCGAGATCAGCCCCAAGCCCCCAACCCCCAAGCGCGGCCGACAGGACGACAGGGGTCGCCGCCACCGCCTCCTAGGTGCGCTCCGGCCGACCAGGCAACCAACCCAGCGCTC